TATATCGATGGTACGCCCACATCTCGAATACTGCGTACAGATGTGGTCTCCTCATCTCAAAAAGGATATACTGGCACTAGAAAAGGTTCAGAAAAGGGCAACTAAAATGATTAGGGGTTTGGAATGGGTCCCATGTGAGGAGAGATTAAAGAGGCTAGGGCTCTTCAGCTTGGAAAAGAGGAGACTAAGGGGGGATATGATAGAGGTATATAAAATCATGAGTGATGTGGAGAAAGTGGGTAAAGAAAAGTTATTTACTTATTCCCATAATACAAGAACTAGGGGTCATCAAATGAAATTAATAGATAGCAGGTTTAAAACAAATACAAGGAAGTTCTTCTTCACGCAGCGCACAGTCAACTTGTGGAACTCCTTACCTAAGGAGGTTGTGAAGGCTAGGACTATAACAGCGTTTAAAAGAGAACTGGATAAATTCATGGTGGTTAAGTCCATTAATGGCTATTAGCCAGCATGGGTAAGGAATGGTGTCCCTAGCCTCTGTTTGTCAGAGGATGGAGATGGATGGCAGGAGAGAGATCACTTGATTGTTGCCTGTTGGTCCACTCCCTCTGGGGCACCTGGTATTGGCCACTGTCGGTAGACAGGATACTGGGCTAGATGGACCTTTGGTCTGACCCGGTACGGCTCTTCTTATGTTATGTTATGTACTTAAACCACAAGTGTTTCATATTTTAAATATATTAAATTTACTTTTAATGGAATTGGTATTTTATATACTAGCTGTCTTCTTATCTCCCACTTCCCCAAATAATGCTTATAATTACCTGTAATATCTGTTGCTGATAAAGGGTACTTAAGTGGAATGGTTGTCTAAATTATCTACTTCTAAAATTTAGCTAAATTCATGCTCACTATTCGGCGCTGCTTGAATGCCTGCATCCAGAGAGCAATAAAAGAAAATCAAGATGATGATGAAGAAAGTGAAAAGGAGAATATAAGTGTAAGTGAACATGAAAGAGAGAGACCATAAGGGGAACAAATGGGGATCTCTAGGGATAGGAAGACAGGAAAAAGTTGCTATCAGGCCACTACTGTGATGTGAGAGAGTGGCAAGTAGGTCGAGTAGCAGGAGTAAACTGGGAGGAATTCCAGGAATACTTAAAATGGGTGCTTGTCTCATGCTGATGGTTATTCTAAGTATACAGTAGTAGAAATTATTTTGCAATTGTATTTATTCAAATATGGATCTGTCAAAATGACTGTATTTATGCACAGATTAAGTCTGAATTGTGGCATTCACCTCCCCCTACAATAAACATAGCTCCTTTGTTAAATGAAGAGTTCAGAAAAAGATTTTTGACACATAATTTTAACCTGCATTCATATTATACAGTGTTAGCTATTTTAATCCCCAAATGTTTGCATTTCAGATGCTAAATAATGTGTTGTCAATAAACGATGTGGCTTCCATGGCAAGTTTACTGGAGATTACTGTCATTCTCTGGAGAAGTATTCACAAAGCACTTGATCACAATGAAGAAGCCAAAGGTTACACAATCAGAAAGTTTGCCTCTGTACTACCAGAATATTTTAAAGTTTTTAAGGTAAACTTTAATATCATAGGTTAAAAATTGTGGCAAATTTAAAATACAGATGAATGACTTCCTAGAAACCTGTATTTTTTTTTAAATTATTTTCAATTCTAGTGCTTGCATGGCATATATG